TTTGTACCACGTGATCGAAATCAGTAGATAAATTGCGTTTATGCAACTAGTATCTATTATTAAACAAAAATCATACAATTATAAATACTGTATGTGATTGCTTTCTGGAACAATTAGAATAACGGGAAGAGTGAGTTTTATTCTTCCACCACTGCATCACATGACCGCCAAACGAGATTACATTTATTCTGCGCTAGGGAGTGTGGGATGTCAATGGCTGCCGTTTTCTCGAAATTTGCTTGGTTTCCGCGGTAATTATTTGAAAATATCACAAATTATTGCTTATTTATAAACACAAATTGCAAACAAAGGTTTGTATGTTATTCATCCAGCGATCAAATCACAATAAAGGTACGTCACACCATCGTAATCGAAAGCAAAAGCGATTTAATTTACGTTTGCCAGATTTCTGTTTTTAAACGGTGATAGATCCCGTAGCTCTATGTTCGACGTAAAACAACAAAATTAAAAAAAAGACGTCCAAATGAAATTGTGAGGGCGAAATTCGATTGTAGGTCGCACCAAAGAGCTACGGAACCGCAGCTAGGGCTCCCTGTGCCCGTGGAGGTAATTTTACCTCCATGCTGTGCCTAAACTAGACAATGTTAATATTGAAAGCCTTTTACGTAAACAATAAATCGTTATACTAGCTGAAAATTAATTAATGGAGGAGGATAATACATTTAAAGACACGGGAAAATGTAATAATTCTACGGTAGCTATAACGATGACAGACTTCCGCGAATTCGATCCTATGTTTTGTGTTGTTATAATCTGGATGGTTGTCCACAGATTGTGAAACCACCTCCGCAATCACGTTATTAATTGCCGGGGAAAAAATAACTGTGTTAAAGGGCAGGAAGCCAACCCTAACATAAGATGAGGAATTGCGCAAATCAATCACTGAAGGGACAATTCATCATTCTTTTCGTTTAAGTTACATTGCCTCGCGGGACAAATACGACAAGATTTTATTCTGGCTGCACGTCGAATATTCCCCCTGAACCTTAGCAATGATGTTAGCAATAAAGTAATGTTATATCACGGAGAGTCGTAGATAGAAAGCTATGTCTTGAATGAGCGGAAATACGGAGCAGTAAGATGAAACTCGGTTCCATCATCACCATTGTCATGAACGGATTGACGAGCGGAGTGTACTGTTTTTTTGTGGTTCCATGGCGATCATTCAAACCCTCGAAAAGTATAATACACAACGGCCATAGCGGGTACTAATGCAAATCTAGTCAGTGGGCGACTCCTACGCATCAATGCGTAATTAAATACTATGCGGTGCATTTAAATTATCACAGAGAAAGCGAATAACGGGAACTTACCATTCATATGCGCCGCCGCCATGATGTTTACATCCATGTGACCTCCGAGTCCTCTTTCTCGCAGGTCAGTAAGTTTAATACTTTCCCGGCATTCCATGCGAATATTTTAAGTTGCCGCGCAAAGTTATGAGAAGATGACGCGCCTATTTAATTCACGACGGAATGTGAGTTTTGAAAACAAACTCGAATTTTTTTATTCTGGTCAAAAACTAATCTCTATATTTGCAATACAATATTTAAGAATTGTTTGTACATTCCGGCCCGTTCGTGGTTTACTGAGAGCCCACCGACGGAGCGGGCGACGGATATTCTTGGGTGCAAGTTTTGAACTCAGATTTGATCATCTGTGGTCAGTGGCGGCGGCACGGGGGAGGGGGTGTCGGAAAAAATCCATTAGGAAAAAGATGTTGGGGGGGGGGGGCTTAAAATAAAATACTAGTTCGGGCTTTTTTTTCAATATGTATTTAATCATTATTTTTTCGTATATTTAATTTAATATTTATTTGCTGGTATTTTCCTTTTAAGTTTTGGTAGTCGTGGCCCACAACTTGAAGGTAGCGGCAGTAAACAAATAACGCAAAGTAATATGTATCACAATGACAATTTAATTAAAAAATATCATACTCTCAGCGCAATAAATGCAGTTACTACATCTTTATAAATATTTATGAATTCAAACTGAAACATGATTGGCCGACTGAATAACATTGGAACTTTTTAAAATGACATTGTGTATTGTGCTGGTTGGCTGGTTAATTGATTCAACTGACTGTCATTGAAATTTTTAAATATTTATAAAAATGAAAGACAATTTGTTGCGCTGGGAGTAAAAATAAAATAAAACCCATGAAATAGGTAAATCACGCTATATTTTATTGTATCCTCATATTATAAAATGTTTTTTTTTTTCATTGAAATGCAGTTTCTCGCCACTTAGCTATTATCGCCGATTTTTTGTTGCGGGGGTGAAAACCCATCTAACCGTAACCAAGGGCGTTTGATACAGGAATTATATAAGTGTTTAATATTTTAACAAGAATCGCATTTCACTTAGTATATTAGGTTTGTATCTTTCTTCGTCAAATACTCTATTTACAACATTACCTTGTTCACGCGTAACGTTTACGCTGTTGTGTAGCACAGCCGTAAATCTAATGACGATGCTCTTTTCACGATGTGAACAGTTTACGCAGATGTAAAAATAGCGGATTTTACATACCAGTGTGCCGCCATTTATAGAAATATGCCACATTTAAATATTAATAATTTCTGGTAGTATTACTATTTTTTTTTATTTTTAACTCCATTAACATCCCTACTTAATTTAAGTAGGGTATAATTTTTGCAGGGGATTTTTCATATCAAAATGAACTCATAATACCTACGCTGTTAGCCATGTTAAAAATGTGCGTATTTCTCATTACCGTGACTAACAATGAAACTGTAAAGCGATGATAACAATAAACGCTAAACACGCAAAGGCTCATGGTTTGGCACCCTGGTCTCACACAAATAATATTTTTTAACAAAGTGGATCGGATAAATATGTCGCCTTGGGCGTAATAATGCGTGAAAAAGTCGTAACGAGCACGCAACGCTCGGTGAATGTTAAACACACAAATCTAACTGCAGAGGGCGTGATTTGTAGAGCGGTGTCCATCCCTAAAATTATATGTACATTCTACATCCGATGGATATGTTTGTGAATGTACGTGTATAGTTACTATAATTATACATTATTAAAATTATCAAGTGCAAGTTTTATTTTATTATCAAGAGTGATTTTAAATTGTAAAGGTCCTGAATGTGTCAATGCTGTGACAATTTGTCTGGTTGGTGTTGGAACATGCAAAGCCTGGCAAAAGCTCACGCAATCATTGAAAATGATATCAATGCCACATATCACGTGCCCGTGAAACTCACAAATTGTCTATTGACGGTTTGAGCAGTTTCGTTGGATTACATATTGATTTTACATGTACTATCTTTTTGTGTATAGTATTACTCATTGGCAGAGCCCAACACATACAGCATTTCTTTGCATTGTGACAATTTTCAGTGATATATCGTTATCATTCATAGATAATTACGATATTTGTTTTGAGCTTTCAAGATGGCCGACTGGTAACATTGTATTTTTCACATTTCTTGTTTTTTTAGAGGCTTGTCATGGATTCACACCATTTATTAGATAAGGTGAATTTGTGGTATCACTTGTAATCATAGTCATATGTGAGTGTAATACAGTATACAATGTACACTTTTTCTGTAAATCACGCCCTCTAACAATGACGCGTTTATATGACCTAAATAATGACACGAAAGTACGGTAGTTCAAAGCGTTGAAATCTTTTTGATCTGTAGTCGTCCATTAATGAAAATACTACTTTTTAAGACTTCACTGTAATCTAGACGATGAATGACGACACAAGCACATGCGGTTGTCGATTTGAACGACATTCCTGATTCCCAAATACGTCATTTTGACGTCACAGAAAAGCCCGTCACTTGAGGGCGCGAATTATATTTAGCATTCTGAGCACTGAAATATGGCTGATTTGTGTCAATCTACTGATTTTGTATTCATTCTTGTTTTTATATGTACGTCGTGGTTTTTCTGAAATATGTCTCGGAGCATTTCAGTAATAACATTCTGAATAGAACGCATATTGACTCTCAACCTGAACTAGTGTGACACCCGGGGCCCTTTGTAGGTCGTGGCCTGAAAATCGAAATAATGAGCAAAAAACAAACGAGGCCAGCTATCAATGATGCTTTCAAACCGGAGTCAAGCATTTCTGATAGTATACTTTTCAAATAATTTAGATGTATTCATATTGCGTCTTTTCAATAATGTTAGTATTATGTCCGATAATGAATTTTGCCAAAGATTGATTATCATTATTGATCGCAAGGTTGTTTATCATGTCGCTCATGAAATAGTATCCGTTTAGTTTAATAATTAAGTGCACAATTGCTCATGCGCGTTTACGCGTTAAATTATTTCATCGAACATCGTTTTCAACTTTACAACACAATCACAATCTGGTGCATCTATCAACGTGTGACGTCTAACAAAAATCCTCTAAGAGCGGTAGTCGTCGCACCACACATACGCGAGATATATGGGTTTCATATAAACACAGATGGCGACTTTGACTGTTGCGCAGATCAACGAGTACAAACTGAGACGTTATAAAGCTTTAATTAGGTATTTTAGAAGGTGGTTGGAAGGGATCGAAAGATTCCCGTTAGAAGAGCGCGTTGGATTGTGGGAAAATCAATGTTCATCAACACAAATTTCGCACATGCGCAGCGCGACGACTGCCGCCCTTCAATCAAGTATGAGAGACTTTGATCCATAGTAAATAAAGCGACATAATGCACCAAATGTAGTTCTCAGTGTCTTGATGTTAGTTGCATTGTAATTGATCTCTCGTCCTTTCATCTCTGGACATACTCGTATGTACGTATGTATGGTGTAATGGTGATAGCGCCACCATTTGTAATAACCGAAAAAAATCTGCCATGTTTTATCCCAGTTTGGTTGAACCAATCGTTTGTTCTCGATTTTAATCAGGCCCGGAAATTGAATTGCGAGAGCGTTTGGGTACAAAATGGAATCACAACCCCAGCAAGATCGTTTGTAGAACCGATAACCTTCGTAGTACATTTTCAAAAACAACGAGTCTTTCCTTGCTATGAGTATACCGTTATTGAGATGCGTTGGGTCTTCTCTTCCCATTACATAATCGTAATGACGTAATGGTTCTAATGATTGCACGACGATGACGTCACAATCCATGTATATTCCCCCGTATTCTAATAACACTTCAAGTCTGGCGATGTCGGTTAAGTGAAATACTTTAGACTTTTCCAGAGAATATCCGAAAATTGTTTTAGGAGGTTTTCTGTATTTTATCTCTAATGTGGGTATTGTCAGTTTCGCTTCTTCCCAAAAAGTACCATTTGGTTCACAATTCGTATGAAACATGATCTTTGTGGCTTTCATCACCCTGTGGGCGCTTAGCAGAGAAATTAGATGATCAAAACGAAACGAGAGATTGCCAAACCACACATAGTGTGCAATATTGGGTACTACAGTTTTCTCGTGGTATGCAACATTATCAGGTAGACTCAGCTCCTCCTTACAGATCGGTAAACTGTTGTTAGAAGATCGAAATTCGTAAGCATTGTCATGTATTGTTGATTTGATACTTTCTATGCATTCCATCGGCAGACTGGTCTGATTGTCGTACACTGTGCTGGCCGGGACAGACGTCGCTACACTGCCGTGGTTGTTGTACACTGTGCTGACCGGGACAGACGTCGCTACACTGTAGTGGTTGTCGTACACTGTGCTGACCAGGACAGCGCTCGCGATGTAAGGCGTGACAGTTTGGTAGACTGGGACGTCATCTTTTCTCATTTCAGCTAGTATATCGCGATGAAGAGTCCTATTTCGATACCATCGCTGCGATTGCTCAAAACATGGATGCCGATCACTAAAGCAACAACGTGAACAAAAACGATGCTCTTAAATTGTTTCCTTACTCCCGTTGCCAAGCGACGAAAAAAACACCACATTTTCATTATTTCTGGAAAGAAAGAAATAAATTAGATAACACACGGTAATGTACAGCACTCTCCACAGGCAACAGTGCAATGCCAGCAACAGTGTACGGCGGTAACCTAATTGTCTGTGGATGTTTTCACAGTGTTCGAATCTATGTCAAAATAATATGTACTCAGTCGAACATATGATATGTATAGGCTGTAAATCGTATAACAGCTGTCGAACTATTGGAATAAATAAATAAATGACTATATTAGTATGTGATTACCTAAGAGCAAAAGTGTCATGATAAAGGGACTGTGTATAGTTAGGAATTTGAGGTGCCGACTCAAATCAAGCGGTTATATAGATTTGTTTGTCTTGATTGCTTCGTCTTTGCGTCACTTCTTACATATCACAGTAATCATAAAACAATAATGTGGCTTATGAGTTGTGTAGATTGGATACAATTTT